TTATAACGCGTTATACATCAACAACAAACCTTGATACTATCATATATAATAGTGTACTTTAAAAGTTTCAAGTACCCACGATTAATATTATACAATCACAACAAAAAACTAAAATAGTTATTCTAGGTTTTTTATTATGTAATTTCATCCAAATTTGAACTTAAAATAACTATAAATTATAAAAAAAACTGTACTTCAGTATTTTTTAGATTTTTTGGTAACAGAATTAACTACTTACGTGGAATCTTGTTTTAAATTTTCAATCCTTAGATATAAAAGTTGAACATTTTATAAATTTGTAACTACAAAATAATTATTCAATTTTAAAATTTGATAAATTTTGTCTAAATTCGATATTTAAATGCTTATAAAAAAAAAATTGTGCCTATGTATTTTTAATATTTTTCAACTGATATTGTAACAATATATCAGGAGCCTTGTATTAAATTTTTACACTTTTTGGCCCAACAGATAAAACTTTATTGATATTTATAGGAAAAAAAAAACTAAAAAATTGAAACTTGAAAATGTCCGTAAACAGCTCAAAAAGTGTCAAAATATTTTCAAAATTGTATGGTGTATAGGAAATGCTAATATAAACATTCAGTGAAATTTTCATGTATCTACAGTTACAGTTATTCGTTTTTGAATTACAACAAAATAACAAAATCCAGGAGTGAATATCCAATATCGTAAAAATATGAAATTCAAACGCTCATAAAAATTTAATTTGACTTTCTTATATACATTTTTTTCTTGATAAAGGTAGATAATCTTATGAGGAATCTTGTACTACATTTTAAAACCTTAGATTTATAAAGAAAATTTTTTATGAATTTCTAACTCAAAATAATTTCCAAATTTTCAAAAAAAAACACATTGTAAAATCAATACACTCATTTCATTACATCATTTCACTCAGAATCTAAAATATCGAAAAAATATGATATTTTTGTATTTATATTATTCATTATGACACTAACAATAATTGGAATATTCAAAATTGCCTCGACCATTCCCTAGTAAACTTGTTGATGAATCATCTGTTTTTGAAATTAAAATCTGTCAAACCAAATTCTTCCAGTTTTGTCTAGCTTATTGGTCTAAAAGTCACTTTTTTTTCATTGACTGGAGCCCCTCCAGTCCCCTTAAGGTTTATTTTATGATACGGAATTGAAATATATCGAAAAACATTAAAACAAACAAAATTAATATTTAGAATGGTCAATTCTACATTAGTTTTGACTTTTGACAAAACCTTCTGTTCCCGTTTTTCCTTAATTTTTCTTTTGTTTTTCTTGGCGCTTTTGAAAATTACTGTTAATTTTTAAATTTTTACCTCCCCAATACACCAACAATATTCACTTTCCAATCGAAACAAAATACTTAAGTTGAAAATCGAAGTATTATTTGTACGAATTATCGTATACAGACACAAAAAAAAAATAAAAAAAAACACACATCATTGTAAAGTCAATACATTCATTATTTCACTCAGAATCTAAAACGGTTTTTTTTTTGAAAATCATTGTATCTTGACATTTTGGAAAGTTTACTTTACACAACCGGCGATTCAAAAAAATTAGTAAACTAAGAATGAACGTAAATAGTCCAGGCCTTGAAACCAGTATACAGGGTGATTTTTTTATCGAAGAACACTCATTATTTCTGAAAGTATAGACATTTTACCAAAATTTTTTTTCTAAAAATTTTAGTTGCATACTTTTCTACATTTGTATAACACTTTAATTTTTTTCACCCTCATATTTATTGGTGAAACTATTATCAACTTTTGATTTTCAAATGGCAACCCATAATAAAAATCTTATAAAACAATAAAACAATTTTTTTTATGAATTATAACGTTAAAATTTTTATTTTATGTTAATCCATTAGCGAGATACAGTGCCTCAAAGTTTGGTGGTTTCTCATAAGTAACTGTGCTACTGTTTATAAGTACATAGTATTTTTCGTTCGTAAAGACCAGAAGTTATAACTAATAAATACGATATCGTTCAAAGTTCAACCCAGGGTTTTTATACCTGCTATTATCTAATACAAAATTATGGACTGGAAATGGTGACCAAAAATGTCATGTACATATTATGGTGGGGGTATCCATACGATTACAGCGTTATCTAGTTATCCCATATACCTGTCCTTTATCTTAATTCGTCAGGGGTATAAGATGGTATAAGAGTGGTAATATGAGTTGGATAAGATCATAGAACAATAATTATATGTATTGAAGCGAAACTCGATCAGCTGATGGGTGAAGTGTTTACATAGATATTAAACATTATTTTAGTTAAATACTAGCTCTAAGTATAACTCGGGGCCCGTTGGAATCGCTGAGAGTGGGTACCGATTTTGGAGACAATGAATTATAAAAGTCGCAAAGGTTGTAAGACGAAAGTTTAGGATTTGTGATAAGGATTAGTGATATGGATTGGAGATAAGGCTAGACGCTTTGGCGGGAATGTTAAAAGTTTGAGTGTCTAGCAATCCGTCACAAACGTTGTAAATGGATAGGCTGGATACGATCTCCAGGATCACCTATATAGAGTATACCTGCACATAGAGTGGTATGTGCCGTAGCATGACCGGTGCTTTATCTTATGTAAAAAGTGTAAAGTCGAAAACCGTGTTGGAGTTTCTAGCAAGTCAGTCATCTCAAGTCAAAATCTATTAACTTTCAAGTTAGCCACTTAGGTAGGCAATCCGACTTCGTCGGATCGCGGACTATGTGCTACAGCAAATCAGGTAGGCAATCCACCTGCGGTGGATTGCAGACCCGACATCAAGCGGCTATAAGTGAAAACCCTATCACACAACTTACGAAATAATTTACGAAAAATTCAAACTATATACATACAAACAAATATGATATGTATTTATTGTGTGATATAATATAACAATGAACATTTTTAGAACATTTGCAATTATAATTCCTAAAAAATATTAACATATTGGTAGATATTTAGATACATACTATTATATTAACCAATACATATAAACATGTACCTATAGTGTATATATATTAATTTAAAAAAAAATTGCAAAAACCTGCATGTTATTTGTTAAAGTGTCTATCAAGTCAATCATCACCGTATAAGACGAAACTAAAATGAGCAACCCGTCTATCACCTATATATAGTAGGTATATCACATAGAGTGGTATGTGCCTTCGCATGTCCGGTGCCTTTTCTTATGTAAAAAGTGTAAAGTCAAAAACCGTGTTGGAGTGTCTAGCAAGTCAGTCATCTCAACTCTCAAGCCAAAATCAAGATTAACTTTCAAGTTAGCCACCTAGGTAGGCAAACCGAAATAAAATACAAACTATATTTATATAACAATCATGGACATTTTAAAAAATATGCAATTTTAATAATTCCTAATAAAACAAATATAATATGTACCCATTTATTGTGTGATATAAAATGATAATAATGTACGATATGTTCCTGTATTATTATATTATTATTATTATTTAATTTATATGAAAAATAACGTGAAAAAAAAATGCAAAAAAAGTCGGGATTTGGGCGGCCGTGTAAACCATATGGCATTAACGGTTTCAATGCCTGGACGGCGTACGACGGATTTGAACCCGGGACCTACGTGTTTCCTGCCTAACGCCTAACCTACTCGGACACAGTTTGAGATATGAAAGACAGTGAAAACATCAACAATTAAGCCGTGCGACTACGGAGCGACGTAAACCGATATATTCGATGTACATCGATGTAATCGCATATAATTCGCTTGTAATACGCGCATCTCCCATATATATATTTAACGGGGCGTGTGAAAAGCGTTTTCCGTTAATAATTATTAAATCATAAGGAAAAATTAAATTATACACGTATATACATGTATATATACGCGTACGGCTGGTCGGTCGCCGGCGTAATTTCCAAACGCGATTGCGAGGCGAACGAACCGATTTTGGGGGAAAAGCGCATATAAACGGCTTCAAAAAGACTCGATTCGGACACAAACGGGTGCGATTGTGCGAATAGACGAAACGGAGGGAGAAAAGGAAAAAAATCGGCAAAAAAGTCCGGTCGGGAGTGTATTTATTGATCGACATTGCACGAATATAAACCGCACACCGGTTACTTCGAATTAAGTATATAAAAGGGCGAAAAGATATCGTGTAAAAACAGCTAATTTTCCGAAAATCGGCGAAATGATAGGAAAAGAGGTGATAACGAAAAACGTTTTAAAACCGACCGCCGCCACTGCGAAGGTACGCGATTGGTCGCGCTATAAGGAATCGACGGGACATGGCCGGCGGGCTGGGGAAACGGAGCGGTGCTTCATTTTTTACTCCACGGTTTCACTCTAACTGCGTTTTCCGTTCCACGGGTTGCTTGTATTATCAGTCAGCTGTTCTTCATTTTATAGTATTAGATATCAATGAGTGTTTACCTATGATCTGAAGTCCGAACATTGAAACTGTTTCCGTACACCAACTTGATGTTATACCCGTATTTAAAAACTGTTTCCGCCTAATTGGCAGGGTATTCGGCGCGGGGTCGGGTTATTTCCATTGTTTAATACTTTAATATGATATGATATATTTAATTGATAACGTATGCCACGCCCCCTGGATACGTGATAAGATGGTCTATTGTTGTGTATTGTTAATATGAATAATAACACAAACGTATATTATAGTCTTTTATTGTGAAAAGTATAAAACGAACTGACGTACATATAAAATTGTCTACTTGCTAATGACCGATGGACAATCCCCACCGATCGTAATATGATACTTATGATTATTATTATTAATATAAACGTTTAGTATACAATGTAAATGCTGAATATGCAACATCTCTTTCCTTTAAAAAAAATATAAAGTATTTTGTATAGTGCTTAATTACTATGTTAGTATTTATTTATTTATTTATTTTTTTTTTTTATATATACGAGTATTTATTATATAATATGATAACTGATATAATTAATAGTTAATTATTGCAATTATTGCCCTAAGCATAATCACTTGGAGAATATCGCTGAGGCGGTTTTCTAGATCTAATTGGTCTGGGTGTTTTATTTACTATTATGGGATCGGCCGGATCGGGATTTTGATTTTCACCTACTGTTTCAGTAATTTTAGAATTTTCATTTGCTTGTCTAGCTGGTGTAGGTGACAGTGAGTTATTTATTTGGTTGTGTGGCCATATCTGATCAGTGTGTCTTATCCATTCAGAACCCTCGTCTAGTATGATTTTATGAGTGTTTTTACTAATGTTTTCTGTTATTTTTCCTTTTTGCCAATTTTCATTTTTATTTCGATAATCCTTAACTAATACCAAATCACCCTCTTTTATATTAATATCTCTTTTTCCTGAATTTTTTATTTGTGTAATTTGGTTATTAATAACTACTTCATTTGTGTTTGGGATTAATAAATCAAAAATAGTACGTGTTGAGCGGCCAAACATAAGTTTTGCTGGCGTTTCATTTGTGGTTGAGTGTACAGTATTTCTATACATCAATAAAAATTTATTCAAATGATGTAATGATGTTGAACATTTATTAAAAAATTGCTTAACTATTTTTACTCCAGATTCGGCAAATCCATTTGAGGCTGGGTGGAAAGGTGCCCCTGTCAAGTGCCTGATACCTAGTGTCTTGCAATATGACTGGAATTCATCGCCATTAAAACATTTTGCATTGTCAGTTGTTATTGTTCTGGGAATGCCAAAACGTGCAATTAACTCAGACAGTTTTGTTATGACCGTTTGTGCTGTCATCGAATTTACTTGAAAAACTTCTAGCCACTTTGTGGTTGCATCGACAATAATTAAGAATGTTTTGTTTTTGTACGGACCTAAGAAATCGCAATGCACTCTCGTCCATTGTCTTTGTGGCCATTTCCACGGAGTTAGTACTGACTTAGGAGGATTAGGTCTCGCATTTATGCATTCATTGCAGTTTCGGACCATATCCTCAATTTCTTTATCTATACTAGGCCACCAGAAATACGAACGCGCAATGCTTTTCATACTCGACATGCCAATATGACAAGAATGCAGTTCAGTTAGAATTGACTTACGGAATTTGGTTGGTATGATTACTCTATAGCCCCAAAATAAACAATCTTGTTCAACAGTAATTTCTGTTTTGCGTGTATTATACGAGTTTAATTCGGAATTTATTGAAAAGTCATTACTCCATGAACCTGTTTTTGTAGCGTGTAATACTCTAGAGGTAATTGGATCTCTTTTCGTTTCAATTTTAATTTTGTGCCAATCTAGCGGAAATGGTGACTGTTCGTGAATAAAATTAATGTGAGCGTCGTCATATTCATTAATATTATTGTTGCATTGGTTTGTTTTAATGCGTGATAAAAAATCAGCAGTATTTCCTTCTGATTTAATATACTTAATTTCAAAATCGAATGAAGAAAGAACGTATGCCCAACGTTGTAAGCGATTTGCCGCATAAATTGGTATTCCTTTTTTTTCTCCAAATATGTGGATTAACGGTTTGTGATCAGTAACTAATGTAAATTTTCTACCGTATAAATAATCGTAAAATTTTTGAACACCAAAAATTATGGCTAGACCTTCTTTTTCGATTTGTGGAAATTTGCATTCACTGTTTGACAATACTCGTGATGCATATGCAATTGGTCTTTCTGAGTGGTCAGGATAAGTGTGCGATATGATTGCACCTAGTGCGTATGACGAAGAATCGACCGTGAGTTTTATGGGAAGTTTTTGGTCATAATGTGCTAACACAGGACTTGAGATAAGCATTTTTTTTATGTTATTATATGCTTGATCACATTCTGGTGACCATAGCCATTTTTTTTCTTGTCTTAGTAATGAGTATAACGGTTTAAGAATGTCCGCTGCTCTTGGAACAAATTTAATGTAATATGTTACTAAACCTAAAAATGATTTTAACATAGTTTTATTTTCTGGAACCAGGGCAGATTGTATTGCATTTATGTGTTTAGTTAAGGTGTGCAAGCCATGCTCATCGATTTTATGACCTAAATATTCAATTGAATTTTTGAGAAAACTACATTTGTTTTGTTTAACCCTTAAACCAACTTCGGATAAAACGTTAAGTAATTTTTTTAATCTATTATTGTGTTCTTCTACCGTTTTTCCCGCAACTATTATGTCGTCTTGAAATATACCAATCCCTTCTAAGCCTGTGGTTGATATTTCCATGGCTTTTTGGAATTCCCCAGCTGAGCTTTTTATTCCGAACGGATTTCGAGTATAACTGAATAGGCCTTTGTGAGTATTTATTGTAGTGTATTTGCGATCACTCTCTTTAATTACCATTTGTTGATATGCATCTTTGAGATCTATTTTAGAAAAATATTTTGAGCCACTTATATTCGCATAAAGATGTTCTATTTTTGGTAAGGGATACTCAGTTCCTTCCAATACGGGGTTGATTGTAATTTTGAAATCTCCACAAATTCTAACTGTACCGTCGGGCTTAAGAATTGGAACAATTGGAGTGGCCCATTCGCTGTAGTTCACGGGAGTTAAAATATTATTATCTATTAAACGATCAATTTCCGACTCTACCTTAGATTTTAGTGCTAAAGGAATTGACCTTGGCTTGAAAAACTTGGGTATTGCCCCCTTTTTAATGTTTAGTGATATTTGGTATTTATTAAAGGTGCCGATTTCATTTTTGAATAAATGCTCGAAATTTTTTAATATATTCTCTATATTTTCGTTTACATTTATAGTGTTATAAATGGGAGAATAGTTTATTATTTTTAAATCATTTCTACCAATTAATGGCGGTCCTCCGTTTTGTATTACGTAAATGCACATTTTAAAAGACTTTTTCAAATATTTAGCATTTACTATTAATTTTCCTATTGGGCTTATATCATTTCCGACGTAATCGCGTAGTGAAATATCGTTTGGTAATAAAATTAAATTATTAAAACTTGTATCATATAATTGTTTTGACATTACACTATGCACAGCCCCCGTATCTATTTCAAATTTTAAATCTTTATTTTCAATTAATAAATTGATAATGTACGGTTTTACTTTATTTTGAAAGTTATTTTCAATCATATTAAAAAAAGTGTCAGATAAATTGTACGCGATTGCGTCATCATGAATATTTTCATTCGTGTTATTACCAGAATTTTCGGATAAAAATTTATTGTGTGAGCGGTTATCATACTTTGGTTTATTGTTCTTACTTTTACACATAGGAGCCAAATGACCTTTGATATTGCAAATATTACAACTGTAGTCCTTGTATCGGCATTCTTTTTGTGTGTGATTTGATCGACCGCATGTTCCACATTTTGATTTTTCCGTGATTGACTGCTTGGCTGATTTTGCTTGCTGACTTTGTTTTTGATATTTGAAGTCAGCTTCTTCCTTTATCCATCCGGTTTTATTGTTGATTGTAGATTCTTTTGCAGCAGAAATTTCCATAAGGTGCGAATATGTGATGCTTATTTTTGAGGCATCTTCCTCTAGTAATCGATCTTGAATTGGTCCCGCGTTCATACCAACAACAAAAATGTCACGGATTACAATTTGTAATTCCGTTGAAAAATTACATTTTGATGCTAGGTTCTTTACTCTTGCTCCCCATTCAGCTACAGTTTCGTCTGGTCTCTGCTTTGCGTTGTAGAATGCATATCTTGATGCGAAGTACGATTTCACTGGCTTGTAATAATTGTTTAACAAACCTAATAGTGTGTCGTATGTCTGAACGTCTGGTTTGGCTGGAACGCATAAACTGAATAATATTTTGTGAACTTCCTCACTAATTGAAGATAGTAGTATAGCTCTCTTCTGGACTTCGTTACTTATTCCGTTTGCAATAAAAAAATTTGTAAGTCTTGATTCAAATATTGTTATGTCGTTTCCAGATTCAAATGTTCCTGGTGAACCTATTATATTATGGAATTGAGTAATATTTTTGTTATCCTCACCCATTTTATAAATATTTTAATTTAATATGAGATGAGTTTAAAAACTTTTATCTTCGTCGCCAATTTGTTGTGTATTGTTAATATGAATAATAACACAAACGTATATTATAGTCTTTTATTGTGAAAAGTATAAAACGAACTGACGTACATATAAAATTGTCTACTTGCTAATGACCGATGGACAATCCCCACCGATCGTAATATGATACTTATGATTATTATTATTAATATAAACGTTTAGTATACAATGTAAATGCTGAATATGCAACATCTATGATTATTACAAATTTGAAATTAAAATATTTACGTTATTAAGTTATTACTTATTATCATTTACGTGTCTTCGTGGTAGGTATGATATTGGTTATTGACTATAATTGTCATTGTCAATGGTTATTCAGTTATTAACTGAAGTTAACTAAGTTACTTAATTATTTTTTTTCAATTAAATTAAAAATTGAGTTAATAGTGATAAGTGTTAGTCACTTGAATAAAATTGTAATTAATAGTCATAGGTATATTATTACTATTCCAATCATTATTGTACTATTGGAAAATAAGGAATAAGTACTAACTAATGAGTAGGTATTATTATTTATGGAAATAATCCGTGGCCATAATTTATTTCAAACAATTTACTGTCATAGTGGCCCAGTTTTTACATAATTGATACATGTATAATTTTCTACACTTAAAATAATTCTGGTTAAAATCAATGTTTCTTAATGCATAAATCTATTTCTGTAGCTAATATATTTTTTTTTTTTGCATATTTGAGTAAAATTCAATTTAAGTTCCACATTTTGCAGATAGTTACAATATTGATTACAATTTACAAGTAGCATATTTTATAAACATCAAATAAAATAATTTAAATTTTGCTCAGTACAATTAACACAATCATAAATTTATAATTCTCTACATTAATGACATTTCCATTTGTACATAATAAATACTTTATACAATTTTCAAAGTATTTTTATGCATGAAAATATTCGCATTCAATACATTTTTGATACATAAATATGTTCATATTCTAGAATAATTTTTGGACAAAATCAGGCACTATAGTACGGCCAGCGAAAAATCAGCAGCGATACCAATGCTCCTGGTGCCCAATTTCGTCAGGGCTTCTACAACTATTTGCCACGTAAATTAATTTCAAATAGAAGTCATACTGATTTGGTCATGGATCCTTATCATATAGTCAGTGCTACTATGAAAATATTTAAAAAAACATGTTGTAGTAAATTTTATTCAAGGCCTAAAGGGGTTTGAAAAATCGTAAAATAAAATGTAGGGACACCAATAGTTTCAAACGGAGAACCCCTGATTACGCTAAAATACACTACTAGTAATGTTGCCGTCGTGGCTCATTTTTCGCTAGCTGTACTATAGTCATGAATGTACCTTTAAATTATTATTATAATTAACCACTATATAATTTTAACCATCATTTTAAAGTCCAGGACCATGAAAAATCTATTTCAAATTTGATGATACAGTTAAATCTAAATATTCGTAGTGCAATTATGCAAAATATGAGTAAAGATTAACATGTATTCAAAAAATGAGAAAAAAATCTCCACAACCCCCAGACTTAAAACAATAGTAAAATTTAAAAGTGGCCCTTATAATATTATTCAAACGTGAATTTATTACTTCAGTAGTAATAGCTATAAATAGGCAACAACACCAATCATCTACAGAAATAATATAAGTTATTTACATTTTACTAAGCAATAAAATATAATTTAAAGTAAAAATATATTTCTTTTATTATTTAATATTGAAAAGCATATTATTTATTAGTAATTTGTATTAATTTAAATATACTTTATTTGAATTACACAATCTACATATTATGTATATTATGTATGATGTATCAAACGTAAGTACACAGCATACAAATATACAGTATATTATTATGTACATACATATCTTTTGAGTCTTAATGATTGATGTTGTCACCTCGTTTAAATACATTATTAAAAAATATTATGAAATTATAAAACAAACATTATACAATTATTAGTATTCAATACATATTATTGGTTATATGCAGTTAGGCCATCTAAATTGTTGTCCACTTCTTTCAAATTAACTTGATCATCTAAAAAAACAGTTTTTCAATACTATTAAATAACATTATAGTTAAAGATTTATACCAACATACTTAATTTATTTTGTAGTTTGTTGAAATATTAAAATCCAATATGTGACGCAATATTGTTATTTATTACTGTTATCATTTGCAAATGTAATTGAAGATAGCAATATGAATATAATTTTAATATACATACAGGATCATCCAAATGGTATGTTATAGTAGAGTTCATGATTGGTAATAGTTTTCCTCTTGATTGTTGGTCCAAATATTTTTTTTTACACTTCTTTCAAAATTACTTGATAGGTATCTGAAAAAAGTACAATAAAAACTATTCGTTTGAATACCAAATTGAATAATATTTCACTTAAAATAAGTAAGTACAAAGTATACTAACCATATTTTTAATTTTGTTGCCTGTTGAAATATTAAAATCCAATATTAGCTAATGTATAATGTATCAACTTATGAACATTAGCAACATTTTTAGTTTTCAATACATATCATTGGTCCTAATATGCAGTTAGTTCTTTTTTTTTCAATTTTCTTGATTACCTATCTAAAATATAGTTTGTCAATACAATGCATAATTAAATAATATTACACTTAAAAATATTTTATAACCTTGTAATATAACTTCAAGACTTTATAAGGTTATAAATGTTATAATATGAAACATTTCATCCAAAAAACTATGGATGTACATTAGTATCTATTAAGTATGAGCAAGGTAATATTCAGTCAACATTTTATAAAAATTGTATTTACAAGTCAGGAGTTAAATTAAATTATGTAATCACTAATCAGTAGCAAATTTAGATCCTTAGTGGCACAAATGAACCACATTTGTGTAAACTTGGTTAAATTCATAAAAATACAAATGTTTTATCAAACATAACAATATCAATAAGGAAAATATAAATTTAATGAAAAAACTAACAAGTGATGTTATATTTGCAGTCTTAGCCCTTAGGTAAAGTTAATTTTAGGGTAATTAAACATGTTTTATTGAAAATAGTTAACTAGGCACATGGCTATTAATTATAATTATAATCATTAAGTGTTGACCAATGTCGATTGATCCTTTAATAATTATTAAGTTTGACACATAAATGTAAATGCCCAATCAAAATTCATTG